GGATATTTTCTTATAAAAATATAAAGATCTAATTAAATTCTGAAACTTGCAACTGAAACATGTTTATAACACTGAATCCTTAAAGTAGTGAAAGGACGTATTCTATCATTATGCAATATGATCAGTTTTGCAACATGATGCATGTATCTTTAATGAATGTCATGGCCAAATCAGATTCCTTTTGTGGGTTACCTTACTACACTTTCAGTACCTACAGGATATCCCAGCAGGATAGATCAATATTCGGGGAGGTCATAGTATCGGTCGTACTACGCAAGAAGTGTATATGTACATGTGTTCTATTCCGAACGGTTTCCGAGATAGAGCTGTTTCACTGTGCAGTACACTGTACACTGTACAGACGAGCAAACGCCATGTCCTCACACGAGTTGTGAAGTGCACTGCTGTTGACGGTGGAATTTTTAAAAATGTATTATATTAGGTAAACTGTACCAACTTCNTTTCACTGTGCAGTACACTGTACACTGTACAGACGAGCAACACACCATGTCTCACACGAGTTGCAAGTGCATTGATATTGACGGTGGAATTTTTAAAAATGTATTATACTAGGTAAACTGTACCAACTTTGTCACATGAACAATAAACACCGGTATTAGAAACAGTAAGTAATATCTCTTTCTGAAGAAAGCAGTTTTCTGCGATTTGGCACCGTGTATATGTGGTGTTAACCGACGTTTCGGAGGAACGTATCGCCTCCATCTTCAGGGTAGAAGAAAAAATATAAGAAATCTGCAAGCGAAGAGACCGTGAGAACCGGTAAAAGCAGACGTTCCTCCGAGGTTAACACCACATATACACGGTGCCAAATCCCAGAAAACTGCTTTCTTCATAGTCACCGCCGTGAAAGCCTCAAATCTTACAATATCTCTTTCTTATCAACAGTTTTAGAATTGTACAGTAAAACAGCTGTATCTCGGAAGCCATTCGGAATAGGATATATGTACATATACAATTTTTGCTTAGAATGCCCGACACTATGGCCTCCCAGAATATTGCGACCTTTCTTTCTGGGACACCCTGTATAGCGTCGAATAGTGAAGTGATTGATGATTCATAAATTGGAGGGGAAGAGACCGTGGAGTAATAGGAGTAATATACCGGCATTTACCTGGAAAGCCTGAGGAAAATCACGAAACACCTCAGTAAAGATAGCCGGTGTGCCAGCCGGGATTCGAACCAAGTTCTTTCTACGTAGAAGTTTAGAGCATTACCGCCGAACCAATCTGCACGGTTCAATGCATTACGAAACATCGTGAATAACGTACATACATCGTCAATTTTGTTCTAAGTAAGTAAAAGATGAAAATGTAAAGATATCTCTGTAACAGGCCGTGGAGGCCCATAGGGTTGTGAGATGTTGAGGTTCCCACAATTTTCTAGACAATCGTCTCATAGATGGCGGTAAGGTTGTCAGCCATGCGCGCCGGCCGCCCTTTACCCCCAAGAATATTTCAAGAATATTCCTGGCACTCATTTCTGTTAGAGACCGAGTTGACCCCAGGGCCATAGTGCGGCCGGAAGGATTAGGTCAATTGAAGAAACTCCAGTAACTTCATCGGGACTTAAACCCGCGACCTTCCGGCTTGTAGCATAGTGCCTCAACCAACTACGCTACCGCGTGCCCCCCAACTTTGTCCTAACCACAACATATTGAATATTTCTGGATTCATGTGGGCAAAATGCGTCATCTTATTTGGTATGTTAGCGGATGTATGACATGCTCAAAAGTTTGTCACCCAAATGTAGGCGCACGGTTATGCTAAAGAATGTTATTTACTTTCAGTGTTTCCCCAGATAGCCTTCAATATAACTAACGGATTCAAACCAAAACTAAAAATTCCTCTCACGATGCACCCCGGATTCCACAGCACAGAGCGTAGTTCTGAGACTATGAGAAATGAGGCACCGTAGGAATATACAAAATTACACATTAAGAAACTCCACAATTTAAGGTTTTCGAGTACAACAACACAGCGCGGCCCGAACAACAGAACAACACTAAACAGTCCTATTCAACAAATAACGGAACCACGAGGTGGTAGACACAAACCAAATTGGTTCTAAATGTTAACAAAATCGTTTTTAAACCACACTTGTAAACAGATTAATTGTAATAATTAGGCCGCGCCATAGCTCAAGCGGTTAGTCGCTGGCTTCCAACTGCGGCGGCCCGGATTCGATCCCAGGTCTCGTCAAGTGGGATTTGTGGTGGCAAAAGTGGCACTGGGGCGGGTCTTCTCCGAGTACTTCGGTTTCCCTTGCCAATCTTCATTCCACCAAATTCTCCATCATCATAATCACCCGGGGCAGGCTACAATAGGCCAATCAGTGGCCGCCGTGGCGACTGGATCCAGTTGGACTCCACCCCCCCATAAGCGAATAAAAAAAAATTGGAATGATTTATAAATATTTCAATGTATTCATGCATGTCACTGTAGTTGTTAAGGGCTCAGACTTTATATTGATGGCATTGTAATGATATTGTATGTATATATTGATATTGACCAAACTCATTGTAATTGTAATTTCTGCATGTACTGATATATCCTGCTGAAGATAGTCTCTCAGACCGAAACGTGTCAAGGATGAAACATTAAAAAGGAAAGAAAGAAGAAAACATTTTATCAGTCACACTGGACGGAGTTCATGTCCATTCCTTGTAGCTGGAGCCATTTAAGACGAGTTATATGGAAGGAACATGTAGCATGGATAGACGTTACATGAAATACACTCACAACATCGGTTTGAAAACGTTACGGGAAGTGATCATTCAGCAGACGTAAATACGTTTGTAAGACAATACCGAAACGGGAAATAAGTACATAATCTACATAAGTGTAGATTCTGATTTTTTTCCCCAGTCCTAAATACAGTAGAAATATGCTCAAATATATCTATATATTTGGAACCCAGGTACCCATAATTTGACATAAAGTATCTGGGCCAATCATCCTTCAGTATTTAGTAACCTATGTATTTAGATTAGGGTTAAGAGTCCAAAATCCACGACTAAAACATGCCTATGGATCTAGCATTGGATATCGTGCCAAAAATAACTACAGTGGGAAAAGTCTACAGTTCAGAACTGTTTGAGGCTTTCTTGCCCGTCTTATTCGTCTACCCTGAAGGTGGAGACAGGATGTTCCCCCGAAACAATGGTATCTATTTACCAGACTTACAAGGCGTCATTTTATATGTGGTAACACTCAGAACAGCTTTATGAAATTTGAGGTTCTCTTCTGGGATGTGACGCCGTGTAGTTTGGCAGACGGCAACCTACCGCCTCCACCTTCAGGGGACGAGGTGGAAACAGCAGGTTTTCTCAGAAATATTGGTATATATCTACCAAACTTCTCAGTGTGGAGGCGGGTTAGAATACCAGTGTTTTTTTATAACACTGCGAGTCGCAGAAGGTGATGAAAAGTGAATCCAGTGCCTGGGGATATAACTGAGCCACCCTGTCAGTGGGGGTCGGGGGTTTGACGCAAGGCTGACGACTTTGCACTGTAAAAACGAACGCTCTTGTGAAATCCGTACAAGTAAAAACCGGATGAGCTCTGGCAGAATCTTCTAAGGAGGGCTATGACTCAAAAAAGGCTGTTCTGCCAATCATGATAATTTACCAAACTACATGACGTCATAACCCATTAGACGATCACTGAAATATGCTAGCACAGCAATGTCAGGTTATGCTTCTGTCTGTTCCAGGATCCAACCGCAGAGACAAGGACGGTAGGTAGCTCAGAAAGAAGAAAATAGGGAGGGGCAGACGGAAAGTTCAAATGACAGCCAACAAAGCCATATTTAACATACTTCTGTGGCTGGAAGAGAAGGCAGCATGGAGGTCAGACAGTTCAGCTCCTGCCACACGACAAATCCATGCATAGGAAGCCTCGAAACTAAGGCAAACACTGCTCCTCTCTGTCACCGTTCCTGCCATTGTTTGTTGTTTATTGCCATGCGTGCTGATCACTCGGCTTCGGAGCAACAGAGACCTAAGTCCAACGCCTTACTTACTTACTTACTTATTTACGGAGCTGAGCCCATCTTCAGGAGAAACCAAATCTTCACCTACCCAAGAATTTCCCAGCATTTTATGGAACCCGAAGGTTCATTACCCTGTGCACAAGAACCCTCCATTGGTCCCTATCCTGAGCCAGATCAATCCAACCCATCCCATCCTATCTCTCTAAGATTCATTTTAATATTGTCCACTCACATACGCCTTGGTCTTCCCATCTTCCCAGTGTTCTCTTCCCTTCTGGCTTTCCCACCAATATCCTGTATGCATTCCTCTTCTCCCCATTCGTGCTACATGCCCTGCCCACCTCATCCTCCTTGACTTGATCATTCTAATTATACTTGGAGAAGAGTACAAGTTATGAAGCTCCTCATTATGCAAGTTTTCTCCAACCTCCTGTCACTTCATCTCTCTTCGGTCCAAATATTCTGCTCAACGCCGTTCTCAAACTCCCTCAGTCCAACGTCATATTTCTAATTAGTCACTAACGAATAAAGCGCCAATAGCTGGTATGATTTCACACAGTTTAGTCGCTCTTTGCCTTGATTCGGCTTCGAGGATTTCACTTCTCTTCTGCCTTCTGTTCTAATTTATTTATTTACATTATTTCATTCATATCTGCTTCCATTTTTGTGGATTATTTTACGATTCTGTCAGTATTCAGACTCTACTGCATCGAGTGGCAGAACATATGAATAAGTAAGTGTATAGAAGTAAGCATAAAGATTGGTGGGAAAGCCAGAGGGAAAGAGACAATATTAAAATGGATCTCAGAGAGCTAGGATGGTATGGATTGGTGTGATCAGGCTCAGGATAGGGACCAGTGGAGGACTCTTGTGAACGCGGTAATGAACCTTCGGGTCCCATAAAATGCTGGGAAATTCTTGAGTAGCTGCAGAATTGGTGGCTCCTCAAGAAGGGCTCGGCTCCATAACTAAGTAATGGAAGGAAGCTGTCTGCATGGAGGGACTGGGGAAAACAATCCTGTAACGCGGTGTTAATTTATTAAGGATAACATAACACGCATGTAAGAATTACGTTTACCGTATTCACAAAAACTCGCCACTGGATCACATAATGAGCCACCTGAATTAATTTAATATATTTACACATCATTTCTTTAAGGCCCATTATGACACTGTTCTCCCATCTACGTCTATGTCTCCCTAGTGGTCACTTTTCTTCATACAAGTAGACGTTACAAGCATGATGTTAAGACAATGCCTATTTATGCAAAAGTGACTCAAGTAACCACAGATTCTACTAATTTTCGCGTTCATAGACTGATGATTCAATAGCATGTTGTTTAACGACGCTAATTAACAGATTAATAAGGTAGTACTATTGCGATTGGAGAACTCGAAGAGATATGGAACAAAGCTGTCTTAGTGACTAGACATGGAATTTGGATTGATTACTGGATTTATTCAATGCTTATAACTCATAACTACAAATAACTGTAAGTCTCGCTGATTTACACACTCTGTTGATCACTACAACTATATCGCACATAAATTGTTCTGTTTGTTCACTTGACGTTGCTAAGTAGCTTGTACTAACAATTTCAAATTTACTATCCCAACATTTAGCATAAGTTTAGGGATGGATAAAAGTCACGACTATGTGCTAGAATATACGGTCTCTTGTTGCAACTCGAACTCGGGACGTCTTGAATATGAAACGAGAGTACAAACCTTGAACCACGATGCACAGAGGAAGTGTCTATAGGAATATTCTGTAACTATGAAGAACAAATAATTTGCATTAATGTATAATAAATTATTTGAAGACGCTGCATCAAATGCAATGGTTATTTAACGTGTAACGCTATTAGATGATCATGTTTGATTAACTCGACAGAATTTCAGAGGAAAAACTTCGTGGCCTATTTTGAAGTTACTATACAGGCATTAATGTGGAGGAACTGACGAAAAAAAAAAGAAAATGTAAGGACTGACAATATACTGTCTGAGATTCGAACCGGATAACCACGAATATAAGTGAGAAATTTAAAGCTCTAGGCAACTGACTCGATACAACTTAACATTATAAAGTAAACCACGTGACATATCACGTATATCTCCACACGAAGCGACAATACCTCAAATCGAGGACACTTAAGACAATATTTAACTGTCTTCACGACTTGTATAAGGCATTTGTCACTTATCGTCGTCTAAAGTGACTTAGACGGATTAGAAACTGAACGCATGCGCGAACAGGTGGATCCTTTTTTCTTAACAGGACCTATATCCTTGAACCACAAAATTACTATAAGGGTAAGGAAGTGGGAGGAAGTGGTAAATGAAATTTGTAAAACGTTAGAAAGTGAGATAACGCCTTCCTCGCCTCCTCTTTCCCTTTGCTGAGACCCGTAACCCCTTTCTCTGCCCCGTGCTCGTCTGGCTGGCATGTGTATGTATGTATACGAGGTGTGACCACGGTGATTGAGGATGCTGAAAGAAAAGAGGGGGATTTCGGAGGCAACAATTGAGGTCTCAGTAGGGCTCATAAAAAGGATGCTTGAAGATCAATACGACCACATTCTGAACCTTACCAGCATTGAGTAACCTGCCTCACGTTGCATAACACGTGTTTCTAGTGCTCAGTACTGGACTTCACTGAGATCTATTCTACAAACAGACAGATCAAGAATGAATTCCACAAATTTCTGGATTACACCATTTCTGTCGCTGATAATATTATCGGCGTGTGTCACGGCAGTGCCTGCAGTGGCTTCTGAAGGGAAAAACCTTGAATATAACGAAGTTGTACAAGGCAAAAGCAGTTCTGGAACGGAAGGGAACTGGAATGTTGTGATGAAGATGTTAGACGATTGTGCAGATAAGGAGTTCCTGTCCTGCGTGGGTGTGAAGCTTGTGACAGCGATCGATAGGGCGGCTAAAATGTCTGATATACGCGTCATTGATGGAGTAACAATAATCAAAACAGAGGAAGCCGATGACGGGGAAAATGGTAGAGCTTTTATGACTGAGGAGGAGCTGCAGAACTCTCTAGACCAGGAACCAACAGAGAAGACTTCCAGGTTGCTCGAGTATCTGGTGGAAGTCGCCTCAAAATTCTTCAAGAGCCATGCCATTCAGTTCAAGTTGCCTGAGTTATCTTCCGACCGGCTCCAGAGAGCACTCGAAGAGGGTGAGTCCATAAACTATTATCCAATTAATCATCTATTAATATGTTTCTCTTTACAGAAGACAAATGCATAGAAAGTTTTGGCAGGAAAAGCTGTAGGAAAGTGAGCACTAGGAAGACATAGGCGTAGATGTTAGGATGAAATTGAAACGTATCTTAGTGGAATAGGTTAGGGTGGTATGGAATGGATTAATATGGCTCAGGATAGGGACCGGTGGTGGGCTATTGTGAACACGGTAATGGATTTTTGGGTTCCATAAACGACGAGGAATTTCTTGGTCCCTATCCTGAGCCAGATCAATCCTGATCATATCACCCAATCTTATGTCTGTAAGATCCATTTTGATATTATCCTCCAACCTAAGCTTAGGTCTTCCTACTAGTGTATTTCCTTCTGGCTTTCCCATCAAAATCCTATGGTCAATGGAATTAAAATACATAAGCTACACCTAAGTAACTTTTCTCATTTATGTTAATTGGAAAAGGGTCTTTACTGGATTCTGAAACATTACGATGTTCGTGAAATCAGTTCTCATGAGAAATTCAAGCTGACAGCTGTAACAAGTATCGACGTAAGTTGGAAGTACACGTGACTGTTATTTACCCGTTTATGTAAACAAGTAAAATTGTCCCTGTCCTTTATCAATTAAGCGATACGATATGAAGACGTATAAGGGAGTGGAAGTGTAGCTCCACGATTCTTAATCTCGGTACTAGATGGAGGTGAGTGGTCAGCTTCACGCTCCGACCACTTCACCCCCATGGAAAAAGTCCCCGGTACCCATTGGATAGGAATCTGGCTGGGCCTGAGAGGCGGATTGGACGCTGTGGAGAAGACATAAACGCTTTCCCTACCGAGAATCGAGCCCCGGCCGTCAAATCTGTAACACATTTTATACAGACGTTGAATTTGGAATTCTCATGGCGCTGACTATGAAAAGTAGGCTTATTATATTCTGAGATGTGAAGCCATGTAGTCTGGTGGAAGTATTCCAAAGTTTCGGAGGAATATATTGCTCCCAGCTTCAAGGTTTAAGTGTAAGAAAATCAATGAACCAGGATAGAACAGGCAGAACGTTCTACCTGATGTTTTCTGGTTGCTGACTCGGATTTCTCCTCTATCCTGAAGATGGATAGAGTATTATCCTCCGAAACGGCGGTAAAACTACTACACGGCGTTGCATCCTTACGTGCTTATCTTTCATCACGATAGTAACCAGTCTGTGGCTACGAGCAACAGCATTCAAATCATTCTCGAAGAGTTTTTACTCATTGAGATTGTGGTCATCTGAGTTATGTGACTCCCCATAGATTGATAGATGCTTAAATTTTAAATTTTTATTCTGAGAGTAGGCCGTGCCATGCTTAGGCGGTTAGGACTTGGCTTCTGATCGGAGAGCCTTGGGTTCAGTCTCAGATGACTTCATGCAAGATTCATGGTGGATGAAGTGGCACTAGTGAACGTTTCATTTTCTGGGTTTCTTTAGTTTTCCTCTGCTAGTCATCATCCCACCATTGCTCCATATTCATCTATCACCGCTCCACCTGACCAGGCAGCACATTATCACATACTGGAAATTTAAGTTGAGGGGTTTCATCTCTGACCCCACATTCGGGGATGGTGACGGAGTAAGGAAATTAGATTTTTAGAAACCGCCATCTTTGTTCTGTGGTCGGAACAAGACAAACTTTGGCCTAGAATGACAGACAGGAAGTCCATAAAACAGCGGTGAGAACAAACACTTCGATTTCATGACCCATTACTCAGCTTGACAACTATTAACATTATCTATAATTGAACTGGGTCACTAGGTCACAGCTGGTTATCAGAATACCAAACTGAGTCATTGTCCTGTGTCCCCACCTGGCGTGTCGCATGTGGGCCCCACCTCCATTATGTCGGGATCTGCTTCTCCTTGACAGTGACTCACAGCCCTGACCTCTGACGGGAATTCAGTGCACTAGCCTAACATGACGTCGAGGATTGTTAGACGTATCGAATTTCTGTTAGGGACCTAAGCTAGGTAACAAAAGGCATTTACTTATTCCATCATTTAACGAATAACGAATTAAAAAGCAGGTCACGGTAGCCGAGTGGTCTGAGGCATGTACTGTCTTTGCTCGCTCGGAATCCGGGATCGTGGGTTCGAATACCACTCCGGGCACGGATGTTTAGTGTTTGTGTGTGCGTGCATTTTTCTGTGTTTGTATACAGGTAGAGGCCTTGCGATGAGTAGATCACCCGCCAAAGGAGTCCTACCTAATGTATAAGATCTAGAAAACCGAAGTGAAACGGAGAGTTTCTTGGAGGTAGGCCAAGGCCCAAATTGGGGCTGTAGCGCCACAGGGAAAAAATGAATTAAAAAACACACGGATCAAGTCGCACTTCAGTGGGGGGGGGTTATGAACAGTTCTATCTTTTGGGATATAGCGTTATTTTCCCTGTGCTTAACTAATTAAGTACTAAGCCAAGACAGCGTATGGGGGAGTGGATGTATAGATCCACGTATTCTTGACCTCGGCACTAGGTATATAATGCTGTGTAGTCCGTTGAAAAGTCGACTCTACTTGCTGCCTGCTTCACGCTGATTTCTTACTTGGCTTATTCTTCGACATTTGAAAATGGAAGGGGACATTTTCCTCTGACTTTCAACGCACTACGTCGCATTGTAATCCAAGTCAATGCTTTGGCCGTCTGACAGAGGCAATACCCGTTCGGATTAATCAAACTATATCGATTTTTATTTCCCTTGCAGCCCGTGGAAGGAAGAAAATCAGGAAGATGATCGGGCCTCTGATGATGGGTCTTGGTGCCAAGCTGCTACTTATTGTCCCAATTGGCATTGCCATAGTCGGGTTCTTGGCCATCAAGGCCCTGATAGTCAGCAAACTCGCCCTCCTACTTGCTGGCTTTGTCGCACTGCAGAAACTGCTCGGCGGTGGAGGTTTGGGGTCCTTTGGAGGCGGTAAGAACGGTTGGTCATCTGGTGTTGGATCCGGATGGAACGGCGGCGGAAGTGGATGGAGCAATGGTGGTGCCGGTGGGTGGAGTACTTCCGGAAGTGGGGCATCTTCTGGCTACTACAGAAGTTTTGACACTAACGCCCCTGTAGATGCTCATCAGTTGGCGTACAAAGCACAAGTACCACAAGAAGTCAGCCAGTAACTGTGAAGTATTCGCCAACGGGATTCCAGGCTTTTACTGCGGTATATGAACAATACTGTTTCCCATTTCTGGGTGATGAAACTGTGTTTTGGCTTTCATCCCGAAGCGTTAGTCCCAGAACAGTTAATATCTTTCGTAGACCGCCTTTTACACACTTCACCTTAAATCCGAAAACGACTACATCCGCCATAGAGTCTACAGAATATTTTTGAGCCCTCCTACCTGCTTGGAACCAGCCAAATTAGAATCTAAGAGTGGGCGTCTTTCGTTCAAAATTTCGGGACTGATGACAGACGCTTCTTTACGGGCCGAATGACTGCAAACACTCTGCAAATTACAGAGGTTATGTTCAGACGTGTTCGTTTCATTTCTTTGTTCCAATGCTCTGAAGTGTACTGATTGTTAATAATACTTTGAAACGTCTACAATACATTTTTATGATAAATTCAGTCTGCCCACTAGACGCAGGGGGAACAAGATTCGTACTTATCTGTCTGCGTAAAGACCTTTCATATTAAAAACCTAGAAGTGGTAGCTGTAACTCCCAGTGTGAATTTAGTACGTCTGAACTAGACTTCCTTCATGGGCAAACTGTATATGTATAAACAAAAAACTCCGTGGCCTTTAGTCCGCAAGCGAAATATACGGACCGAGCGACCGCCGTTTGTCGGCGAAGTTAGTGCCAACTTTAGCGGATTAGAGAGTGTCGCGTGGTCAGCGCAACGGATTCCCACGGCCGTTAATCTCGGTTTTCTAGACCGGAGCCGCTACTTTTCCATTTAAGTAAAAAGTAAGTAAAGCTATCCCTGTACCCGGCCGTGAAGGCCCATAGGGTTGTAAGACGTTGAGGCTCCCACATTATCTAGACAATCGGCTCAAAGATTGCGGTAAGGTTGTCAGCCTTACGGGTCGGCCGCGCTTTACTCCCCAGGAAAATTGTTGGCTGAGGGGTTATGCTACAAGCCGGAAGGTCGCGGGTTCAAGTCCCGATGAGGTCATTGGACGTTTTTTCAGTTGACCTAATCCACTAGGCCCTGGGGTTTACTTATTCTCTAACAGAAATGAGTACCAGGAATTTCCATTTAAGTAGCTCCTAAATTATCGAACTGTATATGTATAGATTTACGAAAAATATTGAAATGTAGGGGTAAAATCCCTCAAAATATTTCTTGGACATGAAGTACAAATAATATATCGACAGATGTCACATACTGGCAGATAAAGAATTTTCATAAACGTCGAAATTTTCGACATTTGGCACTTTTAGGTTCATGTACATCCACAACGCAGACAGATAAAAGTTAAAGTTGTCTCTGTGCATAACCAATTACGCACCAAGCCACGAAGGTGTATGGGGTAATGGAGGCACAGCTTCACGAAACGGGTGAAGTTATAATTAATAAGCACCTTAACTAACAACCACAACACAGAATCTTCACCCAAGAAAGGATATACAAAGCTTTTAAAGAACTTGCTTTACAATGGAAATAGTAAGAAAAACAATGCCAATCACTTGAGAAAGTATAAACAGCATTTCTTTTTTTAACATTACATAACAACTGCCGCCATGGAGTGTTAGTTATATCACGCTTCATGTACCGGTTGGAAGTGACTTTCACCTTGCCACACAAGCGGCTTTCGACCTTCAACCTCACATACTCCTGAATGTTAAAAAGCGAGAATGTAATAGAATTTACATATTCACTTTACTTTTAAAAAAGAATTATATCATTAGATTCATATTTATTGAATGTTTTAATATTATGTTTATGTTTCTTTAAACTTATATCCTCTTATAATACATGTTAAGTCGTTATTCATATATTAAGAATTTCCACTAGTCTCTCATATTCATTATATTTAACATGTTACATGCTAAGCACGACCTATCTCGTCTGGAAAGTTTGAATTTAGTTGATGTTAGTGCAAATGAGTGAAAGGATCTTTTTTTTTTCAGAAATCTGTAAAGAGTGAAAATTAATTTGGGGGCTTTCTGAAATAGATATTATATATTTTTAATTTAATTTCATTCATTCATTCATCAATGTCTCTGCATCTTTTTGTTTGGCCCTGGCATCTTCTTCAGACTCGTAATCTTCGATATTATATTTTACAGTTGGAATATAAGAACAGAGGAAGGATTTTTGAACAAAGAATCAGTATCGAATATGTTAATTTCTCTTTACTAGTTACTGATGTAATACTTAATGAAATAATGCGAATTTAAATTTTCAGACAGCAATTTCGAATCAGCCAGAAGGTCCATTACTATTATGCCTTTCTATAAGTGATCAAATAACAGAAGTAACAACTTCCAAAAAAAAAAAAAAAGAGAGTAACGGGCCAAAGAAGCTGCGTATAATTATTTTATTGACATATATAGTTGAATTTGTTATGTAACAATTTGTATTAATTTATCATTTAATTTAAATTGTATGTATGTGATTTTTGTTTAGAGATTTATTTTATGACTTCAAAAAGTATGACAATGACACTATTGCTGAAGTCTAATACTAAACTATTATTGGCATCTGAGCCATTGTTGACATACTAGTCAATTTATACTGGCATGTCAATGATAAATATTTCAAAAGACTGTTTCCCCACTAGTTAAAAAGCTAATTTCAAGTAATATATATTGATGTCTAATTTGAACCCAATGGCATAATTTGACGGCTAGAATCACATCCGAATTAACACTTCATGGATGTGGCTATGCTACTAGCATTATGCTCCAACACTTTTCTTTGTGGGGATTTTTCTTCCTGCCCTACATTTTATCTTTTTATTTTTTGTGGCAGAAATTACAAATTAATAAGAATTCACAGGGTCAGAATTGAAATTTTCTTTGTGTATAATTAGAACTTCTTTCAGAAAGTTCAATTTTATGGCAAAACTCATATTACACCACAGGATGTATTACTGTATCTTGTCTATTCAAAACATCAGTAGCAAATTAATCCAGAGATTATAAAAATAAATGGTTCAAGTTAAACACAATTTTTTTAATGTATGCCATGCCTGTTCGTCCATAAAATGAGTTCTTTCTACTCTAATATCATGACGTTTTACAGCCGTCAAACTATGTCAATGGGCTAATATCAGAAATCTATATTTATTACTTCATATAACATGTATTAAATATGTAGCCACAAAAATACATTTCTAAATCTACTCGTATTTCAATTACTTTTGGTACCACTTCACTGATATATAAAGATTTATTACACGATAGCCTGTCTAGTTTCATTTTATTAACAATTTTAGTGCACAAATATTTATAATTTACATCAAGTTTTTATCTAGTTACCAAAATAATATTGCGATGATAACCCACAGACAATATCTTTTACATTAATATTTGTTTGTTCGTTTAAGTTGCAAAATGTTACACAATGCAGACTTTTCATACGAAATGCACTACAAAACCAAGTTTCATTTTTTTTAATATATTCATGAATAAAAAAAATTGTTGTTCAACACTCAAACACACTCACTCACTCTCTTTAGGTGGTTGTATTCTATGTACTCAACTTAGGGTAGATTTTAGGAACTCTTGTTCAGTGACGTGTTTGCCAATTGGTACATTTGCTGTTCTCAGTGCATCTCTTAACTACTTCTGGTTCTAGGAAATAATTCTTTTACCTTTAGGAACAGCTGAAAGTTTGATGGACATTACAGCCTCTTTCCCGTGAGCGTTTGTGCCATGAACAATCTTGTGGCTGTGTGGAAACAACTCCACTCAAATCAATGCCCGGAAAGACGCAACACAAGCGCTCGTGGAAAAGCAGCCTAAAATGATTAAACCAACTGCAGGAGCAGTAAATCTGTGTGCAGTAAGACAATTCTTAATTAAAGCTATTCCGACAAAAAAACGTAGCCTCATTCGACCTCACACTGGGATTGAATGTGGGGGCACGCGGTAGCGTAGCTGGTTGAGGCACTATGCTACAAGCCCGAAGTTCGCGGGTTCGATTCCCGATGAGGTCATTGGATTTTTTAATTTACCTAATCCTTCCAGCCGCACTATGGCCCTAGGGTTGACTCAGCCTCTAACAGAAATGAGTACCAGGAATCTTCCTGGAGGTAAAGTGCGGCCGGCGCGTAAGACTGACAACCTCACCGCCATCTGTGAGCCGAGTGTCTAGAAAATGTGGGAGACTCGACGTCTCACAACCCTATGGAACTTCATGGTCTGTTACAAAGACAGCTTTACCTTTTTTTATTTAGATTGAATGTTGAAACGAGTTAATAACTGAACTGGGAACAGTGAAAATATATTAAGATAGATTTGACAATTTATTTAAAATGTAAGCGAAAGGAAAGTAGCTTTTGCGTGCAGTCTGTAAGGATCTTGTTTGGTTCAGCTGACTTGTACAAAACATGTTACCAAAATATAAAACTTACATCAATATAATCGGACATAGATTTTGGATTAATTTTCTATTAATGTAAGATGAAAAAGACATAAAGACTGTAAAGCTTGACTTCAAAACGTGCCAAGTACTAATAAAAGATGTTTTGTAAGACTCTGTATTGAAAAATATTATTTCGCAGTCATATAAAATATACGGTGTAATCACATAGAAACTCACAGTCCATTTAAGGACATAACTCTGTCTTTACGTCATATTAAATTTCCCTTCACTTCCCCTGCATAAGCACTTAGGTGTAAGAAAACTACTGATGCTGTGACGCCGTGTAGTCTGGTAGAAGTTTGTCGACATATCTAACATGGCATCCATTGTCTATCTCTACTGTCACCTTCATCCACGCTGGTTTCTCGCTCGGTTTATTCTTCGATCCTGAAGATGGAAGTAACATGTTCCTCCGAACAGTCGGGTTGACTATCAACGGACTACACAGTGTTATATCTCAGTTCAAGCCTATGTACTATGATCTATGTAATAGTAGTTCCTTAGCATGTGGTTATTGCCTTCTGAAGGTGGTCACAGCTGACCGAAACATGTAAAGGCACTATATGTATAAGTATACACTGAGTCACACTGGACGGTGTCCTCAAATTCATTCTATAGTAATTAACTAGTGTGATAGACCAGAATGAATAAAGTTAAACATATTTTGGAGTTTCACATCCATACGAAATAACAAATAAAAATAAAGTTTACTATATTTTAATCGTTACGTCTATAAACAACAGAGCGGAAAACTATTCTGAACCGCGTGACACAAGGTACTCCCAGAACTTCACCCCTTTTCAATTTAATTATCAATGTAATATTGATTTGTGACTATCGATTCCAAGATTATCTTATACGAATAAGCAGGAGGGGGAGTCAGGAAATAGGTCACAAATAGAAGTAAAACAGTTATAACGGACATAATAGGTTTTCTATGCGTATCACTAGGTAGCATCACAAACAAATTCCATAACAGTCTAGGTAGCAGACGCGCATGCGCATGTTTAGAA